TCCGGCTTCTTTCGTGACCCGCCGCAAAATGACCACCCAGAGGCCCCGGAGGTCTGCGCTCTCGCGCTCGGCGCTTTGGTGGCCCTGCGCCGCCGCCACACGTGTCTCCCGCCGTCGCCTCGCCGTCTGCAGTAGTGCAGTTGCTTGCCAGGAAGGAGGCGCTGGTTAGGCCGTGAGGGGCATCCACGTCCATGCGCTCGCGCCTTGCCCAGGGAGCCGATCGAAGCGGCTTTTTACAGCTTCGTCTTGCGCTCGCGCCCTGTGAGAGCGTGTCTACCGTGGCTCCACGCACGGAGCGGACGGAGCTGGACCAGTTTGGCTGTCGAGGCCCAGGCGTTGGATTAGCTTCTGGTGCCGGTGGAGCTCCCCAAAAGCCTAACATGAGCTGACATGCAGTCCCCACACGTCATTGGGATGTCACATCTAGTCTACTCAGACTTAAACCCCAATCAACTTGGCAGCTCGCAGCCCTCCCCAACCCTGCTTGCGGTTGTGCAGTCTTTGGCCGCCGCAGCACCCCCGCAGCACACACCACAATGCAACCCATCTCCCCGCCCCGCCGCCGCCACGCCCCTCAGCGAAATGGGCGTGCAGGAGGCGGCAGTGGAGGAGGTGTTGCGCGCCGCCACAGCCGAGGTCTCGACCTCCTCAGCGAAGCGCCGCCTCCGCCTCTTCCGCCACACTCTACCTCCTCTCATCGCGAAGGCCACAGGTAATCACCGCATCATCGTCTCCGCTCTCCTTCCTCGGGATCGCTCGCCCGCCGTCATCTGCGGGTTTTGGTCTCGCTCCTGTGCGTCGCGCTCGTCCCTACGCACCTACTTTTTCTAGTGAGGGGCTCAAGGGTCAGGGCTGTGCGATCGGACGAAAACTTTTGGCGATGTTTGTGCGAGCTGGACCTCCTCGTGGATCATGATGGTGTTGCGTGTTTGTTTTCATGCGCAATTCCGCTCAAATTGTAACAGATCGAAGCATGTTAGCTCAGCTCCCCCGTGCTTGCTCAGATGTGCTGAACAGCCCGTGTGGATTTTCTGCTGAGATTAATGTGTGGCTTTGTTGAGCTTCTATGACCATATATGTTTTTCGATGCATACCTTCTTGATTACTTGTCTTAACTTCTCCGATCTGTGGTGTATTGTAGTTGTCGATCATGCATAGGTCAGCACCAACTAGCTGTGTAGTTTCTAGTTACATTTTGTTGTATAGACCCAATCCACCTGTTCTGCATGTGGGTTTTCAACATGTGAATGGAGCTTATGGACAATATATGATGCTTATTCTGTCTGATTCGAGTGATTGCCTTGCAATTAAGCTAGCGACATCCATTTTTCGTTTTTTTTTTTTTTTGCTTGGATGCACATGCTTTGTTGATGCAGGGCTGTCCTATGGATGATTCAGTTGCATATCTTGTAGTGATCAGTGTAAGGCTTTTTGACTCATGTTAATAACATATTCTATCATGGTCCAGCAATTTGAGATAGGCATGAGAGCTCATGTGCAGTGCAACTTGAGCTTAATGTGATATATGTGATTGCCGTGACATTAAAGCGTTATTGCATTATTCTGATCATATTCATACCAGGATTCATTTTGCAGACCATGTACTAACACCAATGCTGCAGGACGCTGCAAGCTAGATTGCTTGTGATCTTGTTGTATGCTTAAGCTATGCTTCACTTTCAGTCGATTATTTATCTGGCCATGTTCTATGGTTGTTATTACCACGTGTCTGTGGACAATTGCCAATATTTTGCATACAACATCTTATAGCAGTGGATTTAATGAACTTTGAGAAAGACATGTGCTATTAGGTCACCCAAACCGAACCTTCCTTCAGATGACGTGTTAATGTTCTTTTTTTATTGGGTACTTAAAAAACACTCAAATATATTTACAAATCCTAAGACAAGTTATCTGCCACAATAACTTTTCTTTTTTGGGGTGTACGTGTGTGCTGTGAATTGATCTCTCTCTCTCTCTCTCTCTCAAGTATGAACCTTTGTCCTCTGCAGATTCATTTTCCATGTGAATGTAAACTGATACTTGTGTTGCTCATTTATTCGATACTTAATCATTATGAAACCATTTTTCTTAAATTACTTTGTTTTACGTGCAGAGTCACCATCAGATACTGCATTGTTAGTCGATCTCATTTTCCAGACGTTGCCAATATATGACGACCGGGCATCACGAAAAGCAGTAGATGATATGGTTATTCAGTCTCTTGGTGAACCCACCTTCATGAAGCCCTTTGCTGCGGTACTTGTACAATCTATGGAAAAGAATCTAAAGGTTACAAACCCCCTTACAAGCTTCAAGCTTCTCAGATGGTCACACTATCTTCTGAAATGGAGTCAATTTGCCACACTTTCAAAAGGTGCTTTTACCAGACTGGCCAACGCACAAGCAGTCTTATGTCAAGTCCTTATGGACGGGTCCTTCCGTCGGCGCCGGACTTGCAAGCAGTTATTCATTCATCTTTTCTCTGAGGTAATTATTGGCAATAGTAAATAAATTTAGATCAAATCATAATTGTCTCCTGCCCATATCTTATCTAGTTCCATTTTCCAGCCTAGTGGAATCTGTTAGCCCACAGGATCACTGGCTCAGGTGAGTCGACCACTCACCAGTCTTGCCGACCACAACCGAGCACGACAGAGGCTGTCCGACCACACACACTATGACTAGAGATAGAAGAAGAGGGAGAATAGAGCATACACACACAGTAAAGCACCAGCGTTGGCCGAAGCCTTGTATAAGATATGGTAAATCTAAACTCTCTTTGTTCAGTTGCAGTGGCAAACTATATATACAACTCTATCCATCTAGTCTTCTCAGCCTCCCCTTGCCCAGAGCTCACGTCCTCCTGCTCAGGATCAGCCATCAATTCGTCTTCATTAATCTCTAGAGGCACGAAGTTGATTTGCTGCTGTGGTGGAGGATGAATGAATGGCTAGTTCTATGCCACTTCTTCTATCAGAACTAATTGTTCCTGGGCTGGCTGTGGCTCTGGTTGGATGGGCTGATGAATTGAAATTACTATCTCAGTACGCTGTTGTGCTTCCATTGGCCCAGGGTGAATCAGAACTTCTTGCAGGTCTTCATTCATTGGTGCTTCATTCAAATCTTGGGCCAGCACTGGAGGGGCCACATTCAGAAGGCTGAATAGGTACTTGTATGGGTGCAATCTCCTCAGGCCATTGGGGCCAGGCATTCTCCTATTCCTGTTGTTCTTGCTGATCAGGTGCTGCATCATTGATGCCTGGCAGCTGGTGATTGTGATTTGGCGCTTCTATCTGTTGGCCAAGGCCAAAGAAGTCAAACTGTTGTACACCCTGAATATACTGTTGCACTGAAATCTGATCCTCGTCAGCTGGTCTTGCACCCAACATCTCATACTGTATGATTTCACATTGGATTGTCCATGATTCCCCTTCAATTACAGAAGGCTATGAACTGCGGGACAGGGCCTCAAGTGCTGAGTCGGCGAAGGCTATGAACTGCGGGATGGACTCCAGATCAGTTACTCTGGCTCTGACAATGATTCTAGCCAGACGAGCTAAGACCCCAGTCCAACTGATGACTCTACCAAAGGGATCAATGACATCCTCTACATATTCATCCTCCCAATAATCAGCATGGAAGCCGAACAGCAGCAAACGTACTTCCCTATTGAAATACACTCTTCTCCAGTTTCTACCTTGATTATGCCTAGCAAAAGAGATGTTGACATCTCCAAAAGGGTGTGGGCTATCCAGAACAAAGGCATCTCTATCAGCATCAGAGGCAAAACGAACTAGAGCTTGGCCCAGATGAGTAGGTTGGATATCTCTGATGTTGACACGCTCTTGATCAACCAAAAACTCTCTAAGCACCTCCCTTACTAGTTACTACAGTGAAGTCAAGAGGATTACCCGGGAGTGGATTGATTGTTACTATGCCAGGTTCTCGTCCCTAGCCAGGGGATGGGACTGTGCCACTGCTCTGATCATCCGGACTCTGTTAGGGACATCCTCCCACTGCATTTCAGGTGGCACGAACGGCGTGGGATCAGCACGTTAGAGCGCCATTTCTTGCTGCAACAGAGGGCGATTAGTTGTTTGTGGTGGACTGGGATGAGTGTGGTGATCTTCCAGTTCTTGCTGTGCTCCTTCAGAAGAAGAACGTGGTGGTGTGTCCACAGTAAGAAGGTGAAGGGCCAGCCAGCGATAAAAAGGTTTTTTTACCCAAGATTTCCCCTGTCCCGTGGAGCAAAGTTGTATCGGGCCCAGACGTCATAGGGTGTGGAGACGGCTTAGCCGTTGATTGCTGTGTCTTTACAAACGCCCACCACTCAGTAAATGAGTTGAAAGTGGGTGGGCTGCTTGCACCTGGCCCAAGATGCAGACTTGTTGCCTTGGAAAACAGCTTGGGCTGCTCCATGATTGCTTTGCCTTTACTGTAGCTTGAAGGCTTCACTGCTTCCATAACCGCGGCCCTTGGTTCAATACAATTCTCAGCAATATGCCCCCCACGCCTGCAGTTGAAGCATTTTATCAGAGATTTGCACTGGCTTCTTGAGTGTCTGTCTGAGAGGCAACGAGAGCATATCCCAGGAATTGCTCTGCGTGATAGATACTGGGTGGTTGGGGGTTGGCCATTGTTTAAGCTTAAGGCAAAAAAAACTGAGTCCGAGAGAACTCGAGTGAGGAAACAGGGCAACCGAACCTTTCAAAAAGATGGCTTTCTGAACTCCATGACCAGGACGGAAGTTTAGTCCTGGCATCGCCTCCATCGCAGAGGCACGAAGGTGTTGAGAAGCCCTTTAAGCTTCAGGTCGCTGGGAGGCCCGATGTTGAGCAGCTAGCGTGTGACCTTCAAGAACTCCAGCGCAGCAACCCTTCAAGCTTCAGATCGCTGGAGAGTCCCAACGTCGAGCAGCATGCGTGCAACCACCAAGCACTCCGGCGCGGCAGGTCGCTATTGGTGTTGTCATGGCTGGAGAAGCCTGAGCCGGATCGATGGCCACGCTCTCCTCCTGCAGCCGCCTGAGCAGCTGCACCGGCGCCGCGGCTATCCACCACCGGCAGCCGGCGGACCTACCGACGGAGCGCCGCCACCGACGGCTCCGCCTCCGTCGCCATCCAGTTCGGCACCCTCTACAGCACGGAGGATACGCAGAAGGTATTACGTGAGCGTACCTTTTGACAATGACCTCTTTGCAGCCGGCGGACCTTTGTTGCTTCCTGCTATCGAGGATGGGATCTTCAGTGATAATTGGCGTATCCGACAAAGTTCCGTTGAACTTCTTGGGGATCTCTTATTTAAGGTCGATATCTCATTTGTTTAGAACTGAACTCAGGTATTAGGTTCACTTTATTTGTTGCATCATCTGGTAACAATTCTATCTTTAGGTCGCTGGAACTTCTGGGAAGGCAATCCTTGAGGGTGGAAGTGATGATGAAGGTGCTAGTACAGAGGCTCAGGGGCGTGCTATTATTGAAGTACTTGGAAGGGAGAAACGCAATGAAGTTCTTGCTGCCATTTATATGGTTCGTTCTGATGTCAGCTTGACTGTCCGGCAGGTATATGCTTTATTTTAAGTCATCTTCATTAATAGCCCTTTTTAGATCAGTGGATTATGTTGCTTTTCTTTATTATGCTTTTAAAATTTGCCAGTTTTCCACTGTTTGGCATTCCTGGCCCTTGTTCTAATTTTCTCTTCATTTCAGGCTGCATTACATGTCTGGAAGACAATTGTAGCAAATACTCCAAGAACTCTCAAAGAGATAATGCCAGTACTTATGGACACACTTATTTCGTCTCTTGCATCATCTTCCTCAGAAAGGCGTCAGGTTTGGTCTATTTCATGTGCTGTTTGATATCTGTAGGGATTTATATCATTTTGATTTTGCTTTGTATTGCCATTTTGCAGGTTGCTGGAAGATCACTTGGTGAGCTTGTAAGGAAGCTTGGTGAAAGAGTTTTGCCCTCGATTATTCCAATCCTGTCACGAGGACTCAAAGACCCAAGTGCTAGCAGAAGACAAGTAAGTTATCTTAATAAAATGTGTCTGGAGGATAAAAAAAAATCCCCAAAAAAGATGCTGTCCCCCATTTCCATTAACATGAACGGAAATATAAGCACCCAACAGATAAGAGAGTTAGAGTAGGAGACAGACCAGCAAACAAGACGCTAGGAGATCCAAACCTGCCCCCAAACAGCAACAAATCTGATTCATATTTTGCTACTATTAGGAAGAGGCAGAACCAGAACTTAACTGAGTAATCTATTACAACCAAGACCACCTCAGTTCAGAATTGAACATCAACAATTACAGAAATCCAAACGTCACAACATGCTTTATTCCTAGCAGACAAGCAAGAAACATCCGAAGTCCTGTGCCCTTCTTCATGCTCTGACGTCTAGGGTGTGTGGTTTGTGCAACTGTTATACGGGTTTATTATACCCTTTTTTTCTTAATATAATGATGATACACAGCTCTCCTATGTGTTTATGGGGAAAAAATTTCTGTATCATGATGCTCACACCTTCAATGACCAACTCCTGCATCTTTGCTGAGTATAGAACTGCCCAATGTTACATAAGAGTGCAGGCATAACATAATCAGGAGTTTTAATGGATTTTCTATCCAAAGTAACTTTAGTTCATGTTTTAGATATAAGTATATAACTCAGCAAATTGCTGCCAGTCTCAGCACATTTGCGCCACCCGAAATGTGTAGATGTAGAGGATAACTAGAATTTGCTACTGCATTGACCTGCTCATGGTCACTACTCACTACAGAAGATGCCTGAAAGAGCCCAATATCTCAACCATTTTTTTGAATAACATAGGAGCATTCTATGTATATTTCTAAATAGAATGTTGTTGTTTTTTTCAGTGGAATGTATATATGCACAAAAGTATTTTTAAAATTATTAGTAGCTTAAATCAATCCATGTGCCCAAACCTTGGCCTAGGCTATTGATTACCTTTTTTCTATTGTTACAAATGCACTGTTTACTCTTATATCACTTATTGTTATCTCTTGGTTTCATGTCTAGCCTATTTGGGCTTGCTGGATCAGTCTGTTCTTAATGCCCCCAGGAATAGTTCCACTGATGTTTACAAGGATATTTTTTAAAGTAGATATTGACTTCAAAATATTTATATCGTTTCCTGTGAAAATTTCTGCTCGTCTTAAAAGTTCCTATGTTTTTGTTTATTTATTTTGAGCTGAACATTTATTTGTTTAATATGGACTCATTGAAATGGTCAACATACTTCAATACTCTTGCTTTTCAGGGAGTTTGCATTGGTTTGAGGTTATGGGCAGTGCGGGGAAACACCAGCTATTAAGTTTTATGGATGAACTTATTCCTACCATTCGTACTGCTCTATGCGACAGGTATGCTTTCTTGCTGTTCTTTTTGTTGTTTTTATCTGATGTTCTCATCTAGCCATATCTATCGAAACAGCACCCAAGAGGTCCGTGAATCTGCTGGGTTAGCGTTTAGTACTCTGTACAAGGTATTTGAGCTCAAATCTGTTCTGAATTTCTGATATTACGGATGATTTATCTTTTTTTTCTTCTTTTTAACTTATTCACCTTATATAGAGTGCTGGGCTGCAAGCCATTGATGAGATTGTCCCCACATTGCTACGGGCTTTGGAAGATGATGATACATCTGCAACAGCCCTTGATGGTCTAAAGCAGATTTTAAGGTTTTCTTTTATTCTCTTTTCTGGTTCTCATTAATTTGGTGAGATCAGATGTCTGACTTGAAGTCTACAACTCACAAATATTGACCTTTTGATGTGATTCATTCTACAGTGTCAGAACAGCAGCTGTTTTGCCCCATATATTGCCCAAATTAGTCCAGCCCCCCCTCTCGTGAGTTGTCTACTGATATTATATTTTTTATTTACATTCAGATAGCACTGTTTTATTGACAAATTGCTTTATTGGTGCAGTTCATTTAATGCACATGCATTAGGTGCTCTAGCAGAGGTTGCCGGGCCAGGTTTGAATTCACATATTGGAACTGTTCTCCCAGCATTGATTCTTGCTATGGATGATGATGATGCGGTGAGATGCATGCTAAACAGAAACATTTTTCATTCTAAACACCAACATTTTCTATCTAGGCATCTTACTAATACCTGTATATTCTGTTGTTCCTACATTCTCTCTCTCTGTCTCTCTCATCTGTAGGATGTACAAAACTCAGCCAGGAAAGCTACTAAAACTGTTCTGTTGGTTATTGATGAGGAAGGAGTTGAAACTTTGATACCTGAGCTTCTAAGAGGAATCAATGACAGTCAGGTTGTTTGGCCTGAGATTTTTTTTAGAAAAATTGGGAATTTGAATAATATTGGGCCTTGCTTTTACCCTTTTTCGTTCATTTCTTAACGTATTATTTGTGTGCAGGCATCAATGAGGCGGGGTTCAGCCTATCTAATTGGTTTCCTCTTTAAAAACACTAAATTATATTTGGCTGATGAGGCTTCTGATATGATGTCAACCCTAATAATTTTGTTGAGTGATACAGACAAGGCTACTGTATCAGTGAGTACTTGCCTTCCCTGCAGTATGGTTCCACTTCTAGTTCTGAGACTTAATCAACTTCTGATGATTAACAGGCTGCTTTAGAAGCATTTTCAAGAGTTGTTGCATCTGTTCCAAAGGAACATCTCCCGACGCATATAAAACTAGTGCGTGATGCTGTCTCTACGGCCAGAGATAAAGAGCGTAGAAGGTGAAAGGTTCTACTTTGAACTGAACCACTAAAATTTGTGCTATGCATGTGCTGTTGCTGTTACTTACTAAAGTAGCCACTAATTTTTAAGCTGAAATCTTTGAGGTAGCTCCTGTCCTAGACTAAAACTTCTGTTCCATTTTCAGGGTGTGCCTATTCTTGTGCCTGGCTTATGTCTTCCTAAAGCACTGCAGCCTTTTCTTCCTATATTTCAGCAGGTATTTATTTGTGCATTTTCATTTATAATGGTGTACACATATTTAAATTTCGAGTGTAAGAAAGTGCAGCCCAAGATTAATTTCAGGCATGAGGACATCTGACACATTTCTATTGAACTCCAGGGTTTAATTAGTGGGTCGGCCGAAACAAAGGAGCAGGCAGCTGAAGGTTTAGGAGAGTTAATTGACGTAACAAGCGAGAAGACTCTTAAGGAAGTTATAGTGCCAATTACAGGGTATGTTTTTTATCTTCTTGAAATTGCTTCAGTTTTGTGATTGCCCTTTTGAATGTTTCACATATGAGGATTTGTGCTGTTTGAGGAAAACCCAATGTCATTGCAACCATGAGGCATCCCACCACATGTCCAGCTGACAACCGAACAGCTCCTTAGCATTCTATATTCTTTCAAAGCTAGGCCCTAAAATCTTCTTGTTTTCATAAAATGAACGAGTACGCCTAGTCGATTATTGGTGCTATGGTGGTTATATGTCAATTATTGGTGCTCTATGCAGTTCGCCTATTGATGATTTCTTGTTTTTGAAATATTCATTTTCTTTCACTCCACCTATCTGCTGCTTCACAATTTGTTCGATTTTTACCTGATCTCCTGGTGACTGGGACAAGGCATAAACCATATGTTCATACATGGGGGAAATCAGGAGACAATCCATACACTACAAATTGAATGGTATTATGACATTATTGCTGCCAAGTTGTAGCTTTTGCTGTATTGTCTTCTGTACCTTCTGAGCAACTAGAACACCACCCCCCCCCCAAAAAAAAAAAAAAAGTCCAGCTGCTTCCTCAGTAGAGATAATCTTTTTGAGAAGTTGAAGCTTCCCCTGAGCATGACCTGAGAATAAAACAGTACTCTAAACAGTCTGTCGAATTGCCTGACCTTGTATTTGCTCACATGGTAAGTTGGATGATTTTTTTGCTCTATGGCATGCCTGCCATTGTAGCTCTAATCTAGATTTTTTTGTGTATGTAGACCTCTTATTCGCATCCTTTGTGATCGGTTTCCGTGGCAAGTTAAGTCAGCTATCCTATCAACCCTGACAATCATCATCATGAAAGGTGGAATTGCACTTAAGCCCTTCCTTCCACCATTTCAAACTACATTTGTGAAATGTCTACAGGATAACAATAGGTGAGTATTATCTTTTTCTATGTCCTTTTCAGTTATGCTTTTACCTCCACATGTGAATATGTTTGAATTGCAGGTCTGTCCGGACGAGGGCTGCAGCTGCTCTCGGAAAGCTTAGTGCTCTTAGCACACGGGTGGATCCTTTAGTTAGCGATCTTCTGTCCATGTTGCAGGTTGCGCGGATGTTCTGTCTCTTCTTTTGTTAATATGAGAAATGATGCTGCTGCAAGCTCAAAAGTAATTAATTTTTTTTCTTTCTTTTATACAGTCAGGAGATGAATCTGTCAAAGAAAGTGTGCTTTCTGCGCTTAAAGGTGTTATCAAACATGCTGGCAAAAGTGTCAGCTCTGCAATAAGGTCACGTGGATGTGCTCTTCTTGAAGATCTGCTGCAGGCTCAAGCTGATGATGTCCGCAGTTGTGCTGCAAAAGTGATTGGCACATTGTCTCAGGTAATGATAAATCTTGCATTCTTGTGTATCCCTTGTCAATTCTGGATGTAAAAGGCTTGATGATATCGAAAATCATGTTGCTTACTTGTCTAACTAGTGTTTGAGTGGTATATACCAAAAAGAACGACATTCTGCTAACTCAAAGAAAAGGGCAACATTTTTTAATATGCAACTCGATACACTGTACTTGAGCAAAGTGATTGTCAAATGAGAACTTCAATTGCAATGAGATAATTGATTCTCTTTTCTGAGTTTTTTTATTGAAGTAAGTGGAAATGTTGGAGTGGCGACTGCTAGCTTCCCTAATATGTGCATTCAAGAACATTATGCACAGGCTAATGGTTTGCAAGTGTCTGAAAATTGTGTCCAATGTATTTGTGGACTTCTTTTGGCTACTCTTCATCCTGTGTTGCTTTGCTGCATTGCTTATCAGTCATCAGATTAACTATTGTTCTTTGTTCATTCAAGGACTGATGAGCAATGCAGCGAACTAACACAAACTGGCGTAATACATGATAGTCTGCAACAGTTGAGCGTAAAGTTGATAAAAAAAATAAGAGCACCGTTTTCGAGGAACTACCATGTTTGCCAGTGCATTCATGGATGAACTTTCCTTTGTTTGATCTGGGAAGATCCACTCTTCCACACATTTATTAGTCTCTTCTTACTATAATTGGTTGCATTTATTGACTGTAATATCCATGCTTTCTTTACAGTACATGGAGGAGACAGAGATTTCAGATTTGGTGCAAATCATATTGAACGTGAGCACCTCATCAGACTGGTGTACGAGGCATGGTGCTTTGTTAGCATTCTCATCCATATCAATGCATTCTCTATCAAAATTGTGTCATTTGGCATCCTTTCCATCTCTGGTTGATCTTCTGAAAGATTCTCTTAAAGACGACAAGGTATTGATTGGATCAAGATGTGTGCCTCGTCTGTTTGTAATTATTATTGTGGTGTCTGTAACTCTTGTATGTGCTGTGTGAAGTTCCCTGTTCGTGAAGTTGCTACAAGAACTCAGGGAAGGATACTCTGTTTCCAGCTACAGTCAGAAGGCGGCACCTTGCAACTTGTTCAGTTTCTTGTCTTGGCCTTGCGTGATCATTCAAGTGAAGTTAGGAGAAGATCTTCGTCGTGTATCAAAGCTGCTGCAAAGGTTTATCATTGGAGCCTCTTTATCTCGATGTACGTGGTACCTTTATTCTTGGTGACATGGTGGTAATTTAATGGTTCCTTCTTGTAGATAAATCATTCAGCTCTTGCTACACATCACTCTATATTGGGCCCGGCAATTGCTGATGTTTTGAAGGACTCTAGCATGCCTGTACGTCTAGCAGCGGAACGCTGCGCCCTTCATGTTTTCCAGTTGACTAAAGGTACTTCCATTTCTTGTTCTTTGTTTCCTACTGTTACTATATCATACCATTCCTTATCAAGCGCTGTTCTCTTTGTAAGACCGTCTCCAACAACCGTGACAAAAAATACAAGACGCATTCGTTCTTTGAGTAGCGCTACAGACAAAAGGTTTAATACCCATTTTTTTTGTCTTCTTCAACAACACGACCCAAAAGACAACATTTTCTGCTTGGAAGTACCTGGGCATGACTGCCTTGGAAGTACCTGGGCCTCCATTTCCAGGGCCATGTTACAGCAGCGCAAAAGTACCTGGGCATGACTGGCTTGGAAGTGAAGAAAATCGCAAAGCTTAACGAGGAGAGGTATGGGTAATTAGCTTGTTACCACCATCTACATCGTATATGCTTGCGATGCTGTCATGTTTCATCGAGTTGGAACGACAATTACAATTTTTCTATTCCTGTTTCCCCCTGCAGTGATGGCAGTGAGAACAGTGATGATGACAAGAGGGCATAAACTCTACTCACAGCAATCTTTTATAGGTTCAGTTGTTATGATCTTTACATATAGTTAGCTACATTGATAGAAGGTGGGGGTCATTTTTCTGTCTGACCCATTTTGTGAACATCCTTTTTTACAACCAAGTGGCAGAGGAAGACACGTCGGCATTTGTCATATTTTGTTGTGGCAAACCGACAACGTTTACGCAAACCAACAAATAGTGATGAAGTTATTCAATCAAAGAATTATGTCTACCGTTTTTGCCAGAGTTCGGACCGGGACTTATATTCACCTCAATTTGAATGGACAAATTACGGTGACACAATATATGGCAATCAAGGACTGATTCGTTAGTTTGAGCACAACACCGCTATCTCAGTTCTACGATAAAGCACGTCAATGTAAGCCACACATATCATATATCATATCGTCCAGCATTGCTCCTACCATCTCTCGTCTCCCTCCCAGTTGTTCTTCTCCTTGGGCCCGGTCGGCCCTTCTTCCCTGGACAGCTCGTTGGGCATCTTGTTCAGCATGCTCTCCGCTCTGCACCTGAGCCGGGGAGGTAAGCGCCCGACCATCCACTCCATCCGCTTCCTCGACTTGTACACCACCGTCGGACCCCACTCCCGCATGAACTGCAGCCACTGCGGCTCGACGACGGCGCCCTCGCCCAGATACTCCGCCGCAACGATGCGGTACCTGGCGCTGGAGTCCACGAATAGACTGCTCCGAGCGGCGTCGTTGCGGATGCCGACCCCGAGCGCGGCCGAGCCCTGCAGGTACACACCAGGGTACGCGTAGCTCGCGTGCCCGTTCCTGGACGAGTACACCACGGGCCGGTTGCCGTCGATGTACCCCAGCGCGGAGGCGTCCACCCAGTGCCCGCCGCTGTGCTGCGAGTAGTACACGCCCATGAGCTCACCGGTGAGGTTGCTGACGCGGAATGTGAAGTGCTCCCAGTCCCCGACGTGCCGCCCGGTCTTGCCCAGTGGGAGGCTGATCGGACCCAGCTTGAGCCTCGCCGGGCCGTTGAACGGGCAGAACACCCACATGGCTACGTCGGTGCACGTGCCGCCCATGGCCGGCTTCACGTGCGCGTAGAGCTCCGCGCTGTCGATGTTACCGCGGCACACGGCGCGGCCCCGCTCGCCGCCGGGAACGTCGATCCAGTACTCCCCGTCGTTGCAACCCCCGCCAGGGAGGTTGGACCCCTCGCCGTCGATCTCCTCGCCCGCGGTGTCTCCACCTCGCTTGTACAATGCGGCTCCGTTCTTGAAGAACCAGGAGACGGACGACGGCAGGTAGACCTCCTTGGGGTGGAAGAACAACGTGGGGCCGTAGTGCCGGATCACCGCGTGCGCCTGCTCCAGCGTCGGCATCGCCGACAGGTCGAGCTCGGCGTTGCCCAGGCACGCCATGCCGTGCTCGCGCGGGGGGAGCCCGATCAGCGGCGCAGCAGAAGGTGCCCACGCACACCCCTTTCCCCCACATCCCTCGGCGCACCGGGCGCACGCCCTGCACGGTGAAGAACGACGACGGCCCCGGCAGCTGCAGGCGGAGCAGCGACCCGTGCGGCTCGCACTCGTCCGTGAGGTCCTCGCGGACGCATGCCACCTCCTCGAGCGGTGGACTCCGCCGTTCCGTCGTCACGAGGCACCCGATCGCCCAGTACCCCACCGGCGGCACGGGGACCCAGAAGTAGGCGTCGCTTCGGCCGTACCCGTGGCCAGCATTGGCACAGTTGCCACCGGCATGGAATTCCCAGATGAGCGCGTAGTCCAGCGGCTTGCAGAGCGGCGGCGGCTGAGGCGAGGCGCCTGGCGGGCGCTCCCCCGCTCTGGCAACGAGGACGTGGCCGTGGAGCGGGCGGCAGTTTGGCTGGCAGTAGTAGCCCAGGAGGGAGAACCCCGCTGGGACGCCGACCGGCCGGTAAAAGGTGGCGCTGCCGCCGCCACGCCGCCGCGACGACAGGGTGCAGATCTTCTCGAACGCGGTGGCCGCGGCGAGCTCCAGCTCCCCTCCGCCGATGCGTATCCTCCCCCGCGCGAATCCCCCGCCTGCCCAGAATGCAACGCCGGATCGATTAACTAACCAGTTAACAAATCTAGCGGCCACACATTTCGCGAAATGGTGGGGTGGATTGACGGGGCACTGGGCAGTCACACTCCCACGCAGATGCACCCAAATCCAACCGGGAGGACAGGAGGGGTCGCCAGTCTCCACTCACCTGGGGGCCAGAACGGGAGGGGGTGGGCGAAGGAGAAGACCTCCGGCTCCGGTTCCTCGGGGACGCGCCCGCCCACGCGGACGTCGCCGCCCGAGAAGCAGTTGCCCCACCGCTGGGGCATCGCGCGCGCTGGCTTGCCGGGTTGATCCGCGGCCGAAGTGCCGGTTCGATACGAACGGGATGGCCGGATGGGCTCCGCGCTGAACGGCCAGGCTAACGACCGGGTGACACACGTCTCGTGGACTCACCAGCGACGGCAAGCACGACGATCCGGCCGCGGCGGCTTCGAGGGCGAGGACGAGCGCATGGTAGATTTGCTTCGTCACTGGTTTGACGTTTGCCGGGCTCGACCCGAGAAGGCCGACCGCGCGCGCCAGGAAGAAAAGGACACGGCGCCTGCCACTGCCAGGTTGCCACACCCACACCTGTCCGTGGTCCGTGCCGTATGTGCCCGCCTTGGGTTGGTGGAGTGGGGTGGGAATCCGAATCCCCCTGCGACTTTTGCCCTCACGGCGCACTGCGCGCATCGATGGGAAATGAGCGCGGTGGGGACGCCCAGCTCGCGGGCAGCCACGCCTGATCCGTCAGGTCGTCAGGCTTTCAGCGCGGTGGACGTGGATGTCGGGTGGATGCTGCCGACAAGCCCCCCCTGTGGACGTTGTTGCAATCCAATCAGGCCGCGTATAGATGCCAAAAAATTTTGGGCCGCTGGGCCCCCTTGCCTAAACCAACGTTCTGGTACCGATCGTTGCCTGAAAAAAAATACGTCTTATAAAAAACGAACAGGGCGCAAATACGGCAAGCGCAGCCAGGGTACGCATCGTGAGTGCTCCCCCATTTGAAATTGAAAAAAAAGGTACAGCCTCTCTCCTAAAATAGTGCAGGTCTCGTTTGAATTTAAAGTTTAACTATATTTATAAAAAATAGTATTGATGTTTATATATCTAAATAATTTACTCAAAGTATATAACATGATTAATCTAATGATGTTTTTTATTATAAGTATATTAGTATTTTTTTTGTATATATTTAATCAAATTTAAGTTTAATTGACTTCTTGAGACGCAGAAAACTTTTTTGAAATCTAAGAGTAACATATTTTGCTTTTCCGATGAGTCAAATTTTTCCAATTAGCTGCTGGTCGCTGCGGTATGAGTACGTTATGTTTTGTCTGTAAATGGCCGCCTAGCCAACGCCCTGTTCGTTAGTACCGATCGTTGCCTTAAAAAAAAATACGGCTTATAAAAAACGAACAGGGCGCAAATACGGCAAGCGCAGCCAGGGTACGCATCGTGAGTGCTCCCCCATTTGAAATTGAAAAAAAGGTACAGCCTCTCTCCTAAAATAGTGCAGGTCTCGTACCCGAGGAGCCAATGAATTTAAAGTTTGACTATATTTATAAAAAATAGTATTGATGTTTATATATTTAAATAAGTTTACAATAAAAATATATAACATGATTAATCTAATGATGTTAATCTGGTATTATAAGTACATTAGTATATTTTTGTATATATTTAGTCAAACTTGAGTTTAATTGACTTCTTGAGATACGAGATGAACACTTATTTTAGAATGGAGGGAGTAACATATTTTGCTTTTCCGATGAGTCAAATATTTTGAAATTAGACTTGTATACAAAAAAGGTAATAAATATTCATTTTAATAAATTTGTTTTAAAAAATATTCTAAAGGTCCTTTTGGCTTAACTGTGAGCTAGGAGTATAAAAAAACTGTTGTGAGCTAATTGCTGTGGGAAATTGTTAAGTGGTTAGTCAAAACAACTAGTATTATATGAAACCTATTCCATCTCCTTATCTCTTGAAAGAGCTATAAAACATTTCTATATCTCCATCCATTTGGAAAAGCATGTGGGGTACGACCCCGGATACCCACGGCAGATCACATGGACTGTGCCCCCAGGGGCGATCTAGCCCACAAGACAAAGCCTTGCGGGGCACGACGTTGCTCGACGCGCCCCGCAAGACACGGGGAAGATATCCTGAAGATACTACAAGATATGTTAGGATACATATAATCCTATGATTACTATAATCTGTTATTACTTTCCGGTTATCTCCTAGATCTAACCGACTTGTAACCCTGCCCTCGGACTATATAAGGCAGGCAGGGACCCCCTCCAAACACACGTAATATCATACGATAGCCAATATAATCCAACAGAACACAGGACTAGGGTATTACGTCGTACTGACGGCCCGAACCTGTCTAACTCGTGTGTCTTTATTGCCTTCTTGTTCTCAATTACACGCATCTCTGCCGATCAATCTACCTTCGTGGGATACCCCTCAGAGGACTGCCGATGATATTCTGTCGACAGTTGGCGCGCCAGGTAGGGGTGTGCGTGATGTTTCCATGTCGAACAAGATGTTACGTTTTGCAGGCTCTTTGTCCCTCCCACAGCCCGGGCAGATCTTCATGGTCGGATCGATCTCGTGGATCATCAACGCTGACGGAGTCGGAGAGCTCATCGAGCCGGTGAAGATCAATACTGCGCCGATCACCCCAACACCTGCGACTGCAAATCCGATCTCAAAACCATCTTCAAGGTCGCTTTCGTCGACAATTCACCACCGGCTCCCCCGCTATCCAAGGAGGCAAATCAACAACGACGATTTGATCGCATCCATCGATCAGGTTGGCCAGAAGCTCACCGATTGCCTCTCCATCGCAGAATCGGCTCTGACCACTCTGGTCCAGCGCCGACCACCCTCTGATTCAAATCTATCAGAGGCGGATCGGGAAACTCTAGGGGTTATGGCCCTACCCTTTGGGCTCACTAGCGTCGCCGCTGCCTATCAAGATGCCCTAAGGGGCAAATTCATCGACCAGGTTGGAGATATCCATCCTCTCGCCGACCAACTCCCGCCGGCTGTCAACATGTTACACGTCGGCCAACGCCCCGGAGCATCCCTCCAAACCATCCTGGAGGAGAATCCAAACTCTGAGTCCCAGGGCTCTACGGAGACTGTCGTCGAAACCACCGTCGAACAACCTCTTTTGCCTCCCATCCATGGAGGCGCAATCTTCAACGTCAGCGTCGACAGCCCCCCGCGGGAAGGGGAAACCGAGGAGGACCGCGCCGCCCGCATCAACAGGAACGTCAACCGTGCGTAGCGCCGAGCAAACGAAGCTGCCCTTGTGCTAGCCAGGCTGCTCACAACGATCAGCTCGACTCACAAGGAAGGCCACGCCAACTCCAATGCAACCTCGATGACAAATTTGTCCGTGTTGATGGCCACGACGTCTACAAGACCCCAAGCGCCAACTTGGTTGTGGCTACGCCACAAGCTCACCCGCTCCCGCAGACACCGAAGGTTGCCAAGGTTGCCGCCATGCTTAAAATGGTGCATTGCCAGGTCAATGAGATCTGCCAGGATCAGAGACCTTCCTACTCGATGAGCTCGATTTGCCGATCATCCGCGCCAAGATCTAATCGCCACCCTAGCCAAAGTCGTTTCGCCAACCAGCACCGCGATGATGGACAACCTCTCCAGGGGGGAGCCAGGGGCAACCACGTCGACCACCCTTGCCAACACGACCAGGAAGTCGACCAGGACGTCCGAGCACACCTCAACAATCTCCGAGATGCGCGATGACGTATCGATGAGCGCCATTTTTCTCACCATGAAGAAGAAGTACGCCGCCGTCAAGAGTACGAGCAAGCGTTCGGTAATTCGGACTTAGCCCTCTAGCCACTCAACACCGGCAACACCACAGATCACGACGGCGACGATCCCGAAGGGCCCCGAGCATTGACAATGGCACTCCGGACACTCCAGTGGACCCATGGTTTCAAAATCACTGGGATCGAACCCTACGAAGGACGGATGAACCCCACACAGTGGCTACAAGCTTATGCCACTGCTATGCGCACTGCCGGGGGAGATACCAGCGTCGTGGCGAACTATCTTCCCATCATGCTCACGCAACTACGATGAACTAGCTCACAAGCCTCGCCCCAACTCCATTAGATCCTAGGAAGAGCTGAAGAAGATCTTCATCGACAACTACATGGCCACGTGTACTCGGCCGGACACCAAGCACGATTTGAACCGCATTTACCAGAAGCCATCCGAGCTCCTCTGTAGCTACATCAGACGCTTTTTTGAGATGAGGAATTCTATTCCCAACATCATAGAAGCAGGGGTCATCACCGCCTTCATTCGAGGACTCCATCATCGCGACCTCCGCTCCAAATTCAATCGCAAGCCGCCTAAGGGGATCAGCGAGATGATAACAACCGCCGATCAGTACGCCGACGTGCCAAAGAGGCCAAAGTGCGCTTCAACGAGGATGCGGACACTCATCGCCCAACTCGCCGTAGTGACCGTCGCTACAACGACCGCAGTCACCATCGGGATAGTGGCCATGATCGGCCAGAAGGATCCAAATCTGGTCAATATCACCGCCGCCGATCAGACCACATCGTCGCCGCCATTGACGAACCTTGCACCAAGCGCAACTATGATGAGCAATACAAGAAGATCCTCGAAGGCCCATGCCCTCTCAAAAATAGCAAGCATAAGATGAAGGACTATATCGGCTTGGCTAAGGAGTTCTAGGCTAAAAAGCCGGACGACAACAACAACGATGGAAGCCGGAGGCCGCCGACCACTTGGGGCAACAACAACGCCTTCCAGGATCATGACAAAGTGGTCGCCACCATCTTCGGGGGCCTTTCCGCCACCAAGAGTAGAAGAGATTGAAAGCTCACCGCCACGGGTGCTCGTAAATCAACGCAAAGAAGACGCCGCCACCCCAAATTATCGCCCCTGGTCCGAGGTCCCCATCACCTTCAGTAGGGCCAACTAGTGGGCAGACATCCCTTACACAGGGTGTTTCCCCCTCGTCCTTGGTGCAACCGTCCAGAAAGTGCTTTTTAGAAAAGTGCTCGTCGATGGTGGGAGTGCTCTGAACCTCCTCTTTGCCGGAGCCCTAAAGGAGCTAGGGCATGGGATAGGAGATCTCACACCCTCCGACTCCTCCTTCTAGGATGTGGTACCTGGTAGGGCATCCAAACCGCTTGGAGAGATCACCCTACCAGTACAGTTCGACATGGCTAGCAACTACCGTGTCGAGCACAACAACTTCTACGTC